CCCTCCTGTCCACCCACCGCCCACTCTCACGTGCACCACCCCTGCTCACCCTCCTGTCCACCCACCGCTCACTCTCACGTGCACCACTTCTGCTCACCCTGCTGTCCATCTATATGCACCTGCTCACACCACCCCCCTCTTACCCTGCTGTCCACCCACTGCCCACTCTCACGTGCACCACCCCCTGCTCACCCTCCTGTCCATCTATATGCACCTGCTCACTCTACCACCCCCCACCCTGCTGTCCACCCACCGCCCACTCTCACGTGCACCACCCCTGCTCACCCTGCTGTCCGTTCATATGCACCTGCTCACTCTTCCTGCCCACGTGTTCCCCTCTCTTTCCCAGTGGACCTGTAATCCCTTTTGCCCTATCCATCATCCATCTGCAGAATCACCTGTGACACAGACATTTACAGGGTCTGCTGTTGTGCCTGGCACAGTGCCGGGGCACCCCATGTGAGGGAGGGACAAGAATCCCATGGTGGGGGTTAGGAGACCAATGTGGAGGCATCTCAGAAAGCAGGATGTCTCCCACCCTCAGGAACAATGATGGTAGGGTGACCTGCCCACCATTGGCCCTCCCTGAGCCACTCAGCCACAATGGGACCCTGAGCTGAGGGGCCTTTCCAGGTCACCTCCCACTAGGGCCTCCTGCTCTGGGTGTCCAGGCTCAGGGGCCACCGCTGCCACGTGGCTTGTGAGCTCCAGGCTGGTGCAGACCTGGGTCCTCCCTCCACAGGCTCCACGGTGTACACCTGCATGCTGAACCACCGTGGGGGCACGGAAAGTGACCTGACTGTCAGCTCTCTGGCCCCTGGCCCCCAAGCCTCCCCACTGGCCCCTGCTTTTGAAGGTAAGAGATGCTCTGGCGTGGGGTGCTGTGGCTGAAGACTACTCTGGGACCAGCGCCCACTGATGGCAGGCTGGATGGAACAGGCTGCTGAGGGCTGCTCTGTGGTCAGCTGCCACCGGCCATGGCCAGGGCCTGGGAGATTACAGGTCTTATTTCCAGCTAAATGCAGGCTTTGTTCTGGCGGCTATGCTGAAGCTCCACATACTCAGTGATTATGTCTTTGAACCTGTCTGCACTGCGGCATTCCAAAGTCACCCCAGGGTGTATGTGCTCAGCACGGCTGCTGGACAGAGCCAGCCCAGGATAAGACTGTGCTTTCCTCTTGGAGAAGTCAGCTCCTTTCTGCTGACAACGTCCAAGCTGGGTCGGCTTCTTGGTACCTCTGTGGCCCCCAGTCTCAGGTTGGACAAGCCCTTAGAGTGTGTCCGGCTCAGAGCCCACGCACTGCCCTCTGCCCTCCTCTGCTCTGCTTACACACCCTCAGTGACAGGCAGCTCAGCATCTTCCTCTCTGGCTGGTTTGCACAGCCATGGCTGTGCTCTGAGCCACGATCTGCCTCCTTTTGTTCGGCTCCCTGATCCTGCTTCTTGGTCCACACAAGGAGCAATCTAATCTGTAGTCCTAGAACCATCTCTCCTGGGGAGAACGAGCACAGTGGTATTTTATTTGCCCAAAAAGGGATGGTTTTCATCTCTGAGAGACAAGGCTTGTGGAGGGCAGAGGTGCCACTGCTGCCCTCTCTGTGCTGCCAGCTGTAGGGGCCAGGATCAGGGGCACAGCCTGTGGGGAGGGCTCAGCCCATTTAGGAAATCCGGTGGACCCCGTGCTACTGGCAAATTTAGCTGTGTCCTCAGCTGACCTCAGTGGCTATCCCCTTGGGGTCTGAGCCTGGGCAGGAGCAAAGGAGGATTGTACACAAGTTAGGGCACCCAGAAGCAATTCCTGAGCCCCTGCTATGGGTCAGGCTGTCTGAGGCACCCAGGACCCAGTGATGAGTTAGAGAAGGTTCTGGCCTGGGGGACTTTATATTTGTGGCTGTAGGAAACAGGATTAGAAGGTAAAATCAGCAGACCATAGAGGATGTTGCAAGAGGCAAACGAAGATTAGAAGGGTGGGGGTGGGGGACAAGGAGCCTCACTGCCTGGGGGCCTTAGGGATGGATGGGGTGCTGAGGCCTGGCGGGCCCTTTAGGCCTCTGGGTCTGGCTGAAACAGCATGATAAGATTAGCCCTGCAGTCTGGGGCACAGACCTGGCTGTGCACACAGGGGAGGGGTCCCTCTAGGCTTGCAGAGCCTGGCAGCCCTCCGTCCTGCTGTCAGTGACCTAGAGCCGTGTTTTCCAACCTTTTTTTTTTATCTTACGGCACACCTGAACCTATAGTTAAACTTCCAGGGCACACTTAAATTATGTTGATCAAAAAAGAGTAAAATGAAAAGAATATACTTACTGTGCTTTGAACATCTTTTGAAAATAATTTAATTAATGATCTTTAAAAATTTTCGAGGCATACCTAAGATCCTCTCAGGGCACACCTGTTGAAAATCATTGACTTGGAGGCTGAGTGAGCAGTGGGCTGGGCCCCAGCACGTGTGTTTAATTCAGTAATGAGCACATTGTTCATGTGTTCCTTCAGCCGTCATTTGTGGGGCTTTTGCTGTAGGGTAGACCCAGGGCAGCCAGTGGGCACAGATGATGAGGCTGGGCGGGGTCTCAGGGACACCCCTCCCCAGGAGACAGATAGGTGTAGGGAGGGACAGAACGCAGTGCTGCTGGGGCAAGGGAAGCAGCTGACTTGGGGGAAGGAAGGAAGGCTTCCTGGAGGAGGCTGCATCCAGCCTGGGCTTTGAGGGATGGAGTGAGGCCATGTGGGGACATGCCCATGGGAGCTGGTGCCTGCCCTATAGTGGGGGCCGTAGCTGCACTGGGAGGTGGGTCTAGGAGGGAAGCAGAAAAGCCGGACCCAAATGAGGATGCAGGTCTCTGAATCCTGCCCCCAGCCCTACCGCTGCCTGGCTCTGTGACTTGCCTCTCTGAATCTCAGTTTCCCCATCTGTAAAATGGAAGCAGGAGGACCCCCTCCCCAATCTGCTACAGGGCATTGAGAAGGAGCCTGGGGGTTCAGGAAGGCTGAGGAGCAGCCTCCCTGAGCCTCAGTTTCTCCCCAAAGTGGAAGCTGTCAGGACAGTGCTTTCCATGCAGAGCCGCCTTGCTACGGAGCGCTGTGATTTGCCTTGCTGGAAGATTCTGAGGGTTTCCTGGGACTGCAGTCTGGGCAGCAGCTGAGCTGGCTGGTGGGAGGCTTGTACTTGGTGGCTGTGACAGGTGTGGTGAGCTGAGTCCAGTCCCCCAAGGTGGATCTCTAGGTCCCAGGGACACTGCTAATCAAGAGAAAACTGCTGTGACTTTGTTTTATTTTCAGGCTTAAAAAAAAGGCAGCATTCCTGTTATGAATATGCATACGTGTTAAATATGCATGCGCTTAATATGTGTGTTAATTACACACGGGGCAGCAGATTAGCATCAGGTCAAGGGAATGTGATAATTCACATATGATCAAGGCTACGTATAAAGCAGTTGTCAATCTTAAAAGTTATCTTAAATGATCCGTGTTGATTTTTAAAAATATTACAAGAGGAGTGCGTGCTTCTAGGACACATCCCAGCAACACTGAGCAGTGTGAGGAAGGACCCACACCTGCAGACCCTCCCAGGTCAATGAGCCATAGATAGCCCCTGGGCAGCCCTGCACACCTGCTTTGTAGGCCGGGCCGGGCCCTGTACTGGTCGCTGGCCACTGACCTTGGGACTGGGACCTGGCCTTGGCTGACGGCAGTCTGGCGGGGCCGCACAGGAGCAGAGGTGTAAGTCATGTAGTGTGTGTCTGTGCACGGGTGTGTGTTGAGGCGGGCAGAACAGGGCATCTCTCCAGCACTCTGGCATCTTTGAGGAGCCCCAGCTCAGGGACCAGGGACCCCTTTGGAGACTGGCTTATGTTTTGGCTTCACCCTCATTTTGTAGTCATTAGTTTCAAAAGGAGAAAGGGAGGAGGGACATGCGGTGGAGCCTGGCCAGGATGCTGGTGGGTCTCTTGTCCAGTGGACGCTTCCAACAGCCCCAGGGAGCTGGAGGCTGTGGCTCTGCCTACATTGCAGATGAGAAGACAGAGGCTCAGAGGAGTGGAAAGTGAGGCCAAAGAGCTGCGGAACTGTATCTGGGCCAGGCTGGCCAAGTCTGTGAGCTTCCCAAGATAGTGTCCCCCTGAAGATGGGGTAGTGTCCCTATAATAAGTCCCCAAAGGGGGCCAGGGGCTTGGGAAGCAGGTTCCCCTCATGGTTCAGAGGACACTCTGTGTGCAGGGCGTGGTCCCTGGTCACCCTTAAGGCATGAGCTGCTATAGCCTTTGCAGGTTGGATGGGTCAGGCAGATTTCCCAGGGGAGGTGGCATTAGGGCTGGGTAGTGGGGGTCCAGTTCCTTCAGAGGCAGCAGCTCACATTTGGGTCTAGAAGTGAGGCTCATCAGTGCCAAGTGTAACATGAGAGCAATGGAAGGGAGGCCATAGAGGCTCTGACAGGCCCTGGGAAAGCTTTTGGGTGACCATGGGGAACAAGGGTGTGACGTGGTAAGATTAGGCAGTAGGGGTGACATGGGGACAGGTGGGCTGTCCAGGCCTGGGATGCCACAGCCTAGGCTGGAGCTAGTCAGGCTGCACTTTGAGATGTGGGAGTGAGGGAGAGATGGGAGCTGTGGGTGACACCAGAGTCTGGCCTGAGTGATCTGGAGGCACTAGAGCTCTGGTTGTCAAAGAGGGCTTCCTGGAGGCTGAGGCCTTTGGAATGGGTCTGGTAGGATTAGGGCACAGAGGAGCCCACAGCACAGGGGTGACAAGGTCAGAAGTGTCCCTGGGCTCATCTGGACAGGCAGGAGGGACTGTGATGACCACAGCCCCTGCTGGGACCTCAGCTGGGTGCTGCACCAGAGCCAGGCTCCTCTGTACCTTCCCTTGTTTGTGATGAGAGTGGGAACTGAACCTTGGGTGGAGAAGGAAGAAGGTCCCCAGCTCTAAGCTTTGAGTGGGTAGGTGGGCCCATTGTAGACTCAGGAGCATCAGAGCCCAGCTGGCCAGTCTGTACTGCCGGCTCCCCCCCCACCCCCCAACCCCTGCTTGCTGGAAAGAGGAAGGAACCCATCTGATTTTCAATCACAGCAGGTGGCTATACCTATGACCATGACAGCAGGGGCAGGGCTGGAGGTGTGGGGTGCTCAGGTAGGATTATCCTGCCTCTGACGGCGGCTGCCCCATAGTAGGGCTTTCCTGCCTTCATGCCCCAGGGCCCAGCCTCTCCCTCCTGCCCTTCCTGCTGGCGTCCAGAGCAAATGGCACCAGAGGCCCAGAGTAGCTCCCTGCCCCCGTGCAGGACAGGGAAGGGGACGAGGGTCTTGACACTCCAGCCAGCCAGACTCCCTGTGCTGAGGCTCTTAATCTCCCCAGCAGTCCTGTGAGGGGTCTCTGTTCCTGTTGTCTAGATGGAGGAGCTAGGGCCTCAGGTTGGGGGAGCTGCCTGGGTGCTGCTGCCTTAACAGGGAGGCCCTGTGAGAGGGGACAGGTGAGGGGGGCACAGAGGGTGGGGAGTCCCCACTGCCTCCCTGGGTCAGGGCTTCCTCCCATGGCTGCTCTTGCCACCCAAAATTATGAGCAGGGGGCTTAAGTCAGTGAGGGCCTAGCCCACACCAGGCACTAGACATAGTTGTGGCTAATTACCCCCATGAGGGAGTTCCTTTCTCCCCAAATTCCAAATGAGAATGGGAGGCATAGGGAGGCTGGGCAGTGCCATCTCTAGTACACTGGTCTGAGGTGGGTCAACCGTCCAGCATGGGGCCTGGTGGCAGGGTGGTCTGGTGTATTCCACAGCTGTGGGGCAGAGCCATCCGGGTTCCATCTTCTCCTGCTATGTGTAACCTCTCTGAATCTCAATCTCTTTTTCTCACACCCAGGGATAGAGATGACTCAGTATCCCATGTAGCCTCAGGGGGTGTTGCCTGGGAAGCCCCCAGCCCAGAACCTGGCCCACAGCCCTGGAATGGCTGAGCCGGGGACCCCAGAGACTTGGGGCCATGGAAGTAGAGGGTGAGGTGGGGACAGTGAGGACATGAAGGCTCAAAGAGGACGTGTCTGTCTAGGCTCACCCAGTCCTGGGGGCTGCAGTGGGACAGAATCTTCCTAAGACTTGAGGCCACTGGGCTCTTAAACTGTTCTGGATCGGGAAACCCCTAATAAGTGGGTGTGAGTCTCAGACTCCCCCGTTTGGCATATGTAACCATGGGGGTCCCCACCCTGAGCCCCTCTGATGTGGCCCACAGTGCGGGGCTTGAATTTTCTTCCCCTTCACTGAGAATCCAGGGCCCCTTGGGGATCACTAAGCTCTGGCTTTTACTGTTCACTCAAGCAGGAGGTTGGGCCACTTTCACTCTCCCTGCTCCCTGGCCCTGAAACCCTGCTCTGAGTCCAGGTGCGTCTCTTCCAGGGGATGGCTACTACCTGGCTGTGGGCGGGGCTGCGGCCCAGCACAACTGGTCCCACATCACCACTGTGCTACAGGACCAGAGGTTCCAGTGCCAGCTCATTGACAGCTCTGAGGACCTGGGCATGATCAGCATACAGGGCCCAGCCAGGTGAGGAGAGGGCAAGGCCGAGTGCCTGGGCGTACCTGGGCACACCTGGCACCCTGACCCAGGCCCTACAGAATGGGGCATTCTGAAGAGTGAACCACTCTGGCAAACCTGGCTGGATAAACAATCTTCAAAGCACCAGGACACAGACAGTGGCCTAACTCGAGACTCAGATGGAGCTTAATAGTGTCATAGAAAGGTCCCTGGGGCAGGGCAAGGCAGTCTCTGGGCACCTGCAGCCTCTAAGTGGGTGGGGCAGGCCAGGTTCTCCCTGCCACACTGAGAGGCCCCCTGCCCCTCCCTAAGCACCCCCATACCAAGGGCTAGGATGGGCTGTTCAGGCACCACTCATTCTGTAGATGCTTACTGAGCTGTGCTCCCCCCATGAGGAATCATGGCCCTATGAGGACCCTCGGGTGCTGGCTTTTGTGTAGAGACACAGACAGGGCTTAGGCAAAAGGACTCCTGAGCAGGCAAGTGTCTGTGTCCTGGTGCTTGGAAGATTGTTTATCCAGCTTGGAACTTCCCTCTGGCTGTGCTTCAGAGAGGGGACTGGCCCTGGGGTGCAGAGGGCACCTGTGATCTGCTAGGCCCCAAGCCGGTAGCTCCGACAGTTCTCTAAAGTAGCTACACTTGTTCTCCTTTGTATTACTGAAGAAACAGGCACAGAGAGGCAGAGACATGTGTTCAAGGTCACACAGCCAGTGAGTGCCCAAGCCAGAAGAACTGTGCCCTGCTGAGCTCTCAGAAACCTACAGCTCTTACTGCCACCCCTCTTAGTGAGTTACAAACCCTCTTTGAGAAGACACACCTCATCTAGGCCTTTCTTCCTTGACCACCAGGGCACAGTCGAACCTCCAGGGACGGGAGACTCATCTCAGTTGGCCTTGGGCAGGGAGGTGGTGGGGCAGGGGGAGGGCCCTGGATGAACACCTGGGCAAAGCTTAGCAGTGCCTGGGTGACGTCCTGTCAGCCTGGGGTCCTGCTGAGACCCTGTCACGGAGTCCACCTCCCCTAGCACCTTGGAGCCAACCAAGCCAGTTTGCCCTCAGCTGAGTCCCAAGCTGGCCAACCCCTCTCCTGGGCTATAAGTGAGTCTGGGGCAGGGACTATAGTGTCTTTGCTCAGAGGTACATGTGGATGCCCAGTGCACACTTGCTTATGAATGGTTGGAACCTGAGCTGGTCAAGTACTTTAGCACTGATTCCCTTCCACGAATGTTTGCCTTGAGGCTGCCTGTGGAAACCACATGTATCATGATGGCATTTGGGCAAAGCCCTGGAGAAAAGGAGGGGTCACATCTTGGAGGTCTCTGGAGGAACAGAGCTTCCAGCAGAGGGGACTGTAGGTGCAAAGGTCCCGTGGCAGGTACAGGTGAGGCTGGCCGGAGCAGGGCAGGAGGGTGTGCCCAGAGGGGTTGGGACAGCACCCCACAGTCTGGAGATGGCTCCTCTGAGGGAGGCAAGGGAGATGTAGCTTCAGTGGGGCTCTGTCCTCAGGCCAGGGGAGGAGTGGCAGGTACCCAGGAATCTCAGTGGCAGGAACCTAGGTAAGCCTGAGCCCTGCATCTCTGGGGAGCAGGTATGGGGCCTGGCAGCCCAGCTGGGTCCTAGGATCTTCTGACTTTGTTGGCTTCATTGCCATGGGGACCTTGTGGTGAAGGGGGGCATTTTTAGCCTTGGGGAGGCAGGTGGGCCGGGTGGGGTGGGGGAAGGTATGCCAGACAGGCTTATCAAGACACAGCCCCAGGGGACAGACTGCTTCCTCCAGCCTAATTACTAGCTGCTCCAGGCAGCCAGTGACAGCTGCTGCTGCAGGACAGCTCCTCCTCCCAGTAACTTCTAACTTTCCCCTCCAAAAAAAGTCCTCCCTCTTTCAAAAATAGCCCAAAGTTTCTTACATGAATAATAATGTTGCCACGGGCTGCTGAGGGCCAGGGTTCTGTGCTGGTGCTGGGAAGCACTTAGCATGGATGTGGGAAGTGCTGTATGAACTGCTGCCCCTGAGAACTTTCTGGAAATGTTCCATAACTGAGTGGCCCCCATATGGCAGCCACTAAGCCCCGTGTGGCTATTGGGCCCTTGCCATGTGGCTGCTGGGACTGAATTTTTAATTATAGTGAACTTAAATTCAAATAGTGTCACGTGGCTGGCAGAGAGAACATTGTACTGCCCAGAAGGGGCCGACTGTGGCCTGGGCTGACCCGAATGCGCTGCCTGCTTCACAGTGGCCCCGAGGGGCAGCATCACTGGCCCCATTTAGCTGGGTGGGGGCAAGAGGGATATTGAGGAGCTGGGCCAAGAACATGGGTCTCTGTGGGAAGCCTGTGTCCCCTGGCTACCTGCTGCTTCCTATGGAAAAGGGTAGCTCCCACATGTGGGCTTGGTGGGCTGGGTTCCTGCCCCATCCTCACAGGCCCAGTCCCCAGCCTGGGTCAGAGCCCCAGCTGCAGTTCCAGAATACCTCTCCTCTGGGAAGACCCCTGAAGGTCTGGAGGCCACCCTGGGGTACATCACCATGTGGGGCTGGTGTGGATGTTTTGTAAGAATCTTGGCTAAGCACCTAGGGATGATGGGAATGGTGGCTCCTAATAGCATGGGGGTTGGGATTAGAGTTAGCCACACTGGGGTGGACACAGGGGGCTGTCTCCTGCCAGTGTAGGACCTGCTCTGCTGTGCCAAGCTGAGGCATTTGTTAATCCTTCTCTGTGTCAACACATCAGAGTGACGTGTCTTATTGACACGGAGTTCCTCGTTTAGTGGGTAGCAAGTACAACAGATGCGAGAGATGCCTGGGCAAGAAACTGTGGCACCCTCACTTGGGGAGCCAGGGAGGGCTTCCTGGAGGAGGTGACAGCTCAACTGACCTGGAGAACGACAAAGTTAAATGGGGGCACAAGAAGGGATGAGGATGTCAGGGGAAGCAGCAGGCACGGTATCTAGGAAATGACAGATTCCAGGGAGACCTGGGCATGAGCCCCAGAGGGGTCTTTGGTACCTGAGTAAGTAGAATGGCAAGGCCATGCTGAGCGGGGGAGGGAGGAGAAAAGCTCCACCCTCGTGGACCTTCTAGGCCAGGGGGTGGATCCGACACATTGGCCAGGCCAACTGGATGCAGCTGAGGACAGAGCTCGTCTGTACAGTGCTCAGTGACTTGCACTCCTCAGCAGACTGGTTACTCTGGTGTGGCCCTAGTCCTTGGACAGGTGACAGGCCCCACAGGCAATGCAATGGTTCTGTCTCTGAGCGCTGGCCAAGTGCACAGCCCCAGGTCCTCAGCCTCAGCACCTCAGACCCACCTCGGGCAGGGTGCCCAGGAGCCTGGTGGGAATGGTAGGTCAGGGGACAGAGTGGGACCGTGTCCAGGAGGGTGCCTTCGGTTGGGTCTGAGAGGTGGCCCAGCTCTACTCTGGTTTGGCTCAGTCATGGCTGACAGCTTGGCTTCTCTGTAAGACCACTTCTCTGTAGGGAGGCCACTATAGCCAAGGGTATGTGTGTTCCTGTGGGGTTAGGACCCTGGGCTTGGGGATTGCTTGGCTCCCTGGCAGCTCTGCTCCTCCGGGCAGTGATTTGGGAGCATTCAGTGCCTTCATCTGATTGCCTTTGCTGTGTGTCATCTTGGGGTGGTTTTCTTTTTTCTTTTCTTTTTTTTTTTTTTTTTTTTT